AAAGAATTAAATTATTCTTAACTTAGAGATAAATCAAATTATTTGCGCGCAATATGGTGTAAGAGCTAAACCTAAAAACTAAACGCGCTTAATTCTAACAGATTGATACAATATCGTTTAACATTCGATGGGTAATATTGCTAACTTAGACAGTGGCCGCACGTATGAACCCTTGGCAGTTTTTATCAGAGCAGTGCGTACAATCCCGTCAGGGCCCGGATAAACCTCTTGAACCCGCCCCATCGCCCATTGAAGGGGGGCTAAATTTTGCTGTTTTATTAGCACGAGTTGTCCAGCCGATAATGAAGTGCCCTTGTCGGCCATCCACTTGGATCTCGCCTGTAAAGAATGGAGATATTCATTACTCCATCTACGCCAAAAGTGCTGTCGGGTTTGTTCTACGCGTTGCCACCGCAATAATCTATTCTCGTTAACGTCGGTGACGTCAGCGCAAGGAAGACCATTTAAAACCGTGCCAACCAAAAAATGTCCCGGACTTAGGTACGCCAGGTCGTTGGGATCGGAGCTTAGCGGCGTTAAAGGTCGAGAGTTCAGGATTGCTTCAATTTCGCAAAAAATCGTCTGCATTTCTTCAAAAGTCAGGAGGGCCTTGCCTACGATTCTAGTCATGTGATGCTTAGCGGATTTTACCGCCGCTTCCCACAACCCTCCAAAGTGAGGCGCGTTGGGAGGAATGAAATTCCATGAGATTTCCGACTCTAGAAAAAAGTCTTTGATTTTGGCTTGGACCTCGTGACTATTGTAGATGTCGTATAATTCCTGAATCTGTTTTTGGGCGCCCACGAATGTGGTCCCATTGTCCGAATACATGTGCGAGGGCTTACCTCTACGCGAACTGAATCGCTTGAATGCGGCAATAAATGCCTCGGAAGTGAGATCACTCACCAATTCTAAGTGAACTGCCTTCGTGGCGAAGCATACGAAAAGTGAAACGTATGACTTGTGACTTCGCGCATTACGACGCTTTCCCTCGCGCAGCAGGAAAGGTCCAGCGTAATCCACGCCGCAATGGGAAAACGGCCTAGAAACGTTAACTCGGGTAGCTGGCAATGAACCCATCAAGGCCTCTGATTGCGTGGGTTTGGCCTTGAAACAAATTGTGCATTTTTGTATTATGCCGCGCGTTGTGGATCGCAACGATAATGGCCAAAAACGCTGTCGCACAAAGGCCATCGTGGCTTGCAGACCCGCATGCAAATTCCGCGTGTGCTCACGCTCTATAATACGCTGCGTTAAAATATGCTTGCG